ACACACACACACACACACACACACACACACACACACACACACAACAAAAAAAAAGAAAAAAGAAGAAGGCCCGCGCACCAGTGGCGCACCATCGAAGTTGCGCCCTGCGCCTGTACGCTTTTTGTGCGCGGCCTGCGCACGTGCGCTCGCATCTCAGAGCTGTGCACAGCGCAAGGCGCACCGCACCGCATGGCGCACCGCACTGGTGCGCCGCAAGTATGGTTTATATTCATAACTTTATGCTTGCAAATAGTGCTGCTTGGCGCTGTTGATGTTTTCTATTTCTTCTTTCTGATTTTGTTGGCTTCCAAGGAGCATGGATTATAAGCGGATGACAGGGGCACCTTACCTCACAGCGCCAATCATTAACGGATTTTCAGAATGTTTGGCTTGATTGCAGGGAGAGGGAGCAAGAAGAATAAATGTCTCTTTGACCTGTGCATTGAAGCAGTTTCGCTCGTCAATTCAAGAAACCAGGACCCCCAAGCAAAGGACACAAAGGCAAACCATTTGGATGGTGAAGAGGAGGCTGCAGCCAACACTCCTGATGTCAGGGTGAGCACTCAACCAACCGTAGTCGAGTTTGTTCAGGCGGACCTGGAGTTCATTGCGCGGTATCATGAAGAACATCAATCTGACATTTTTCGGCAAATTATTCACTCCATTTGCCCATCAATCTACGGACATGAACTAGTGAAAGGTCAGATTCCCTCCTTCGCCTGATCCTCAAATGCAGTCTGACTTCCCAGCCAAGAGCAGAGGCATATAGCACTATTCAATGCAAGGATTCTTTCGATAGTTGAGGCGCACCTCGGTGCGCGGATTTGCGCACGAATTGCGCACCGCACAACGCACCGAAGCGCAGCGTACCGGAAAAATTAGGTCCAAAAAAAAAAAGAAAAAAAGGTAGGGGTTTTGTAATTTCTTAGGGCCCCCAACTCGGCAAAAATGTTAAACTCACTGCGCGAGCTCGGAAACCGGCCGAGCCCCCGGCCTGAAGTTTTCTTTTGGGTAAGGGCTGCCAAATTTTGATTTCTGGAGGCCCTTCACCCAAAAGTTTAAGAATGGCGAAGCATAAAATAGGGCTCATTCCAACTTTTTTTTTTGGCGGGGTATGGAAGCTGTCCTTCCCACTGCCTTCTGCACATCCCACACAGTGGTGGGGTAAGTTCGCAAGAAGGGGTAGTCGCCTAACAATGACCTGCCCCGCGAAGCTTCACAGATGTCACAAGTTACGTTTTCCATGGCCAGCCGACCACCAATATATGCTGAAGATTGGCGTTCAGGTCTGCATGTCGGCAGTTATGGGTTAGGATGAAGATGCCCGTGGCTCTCTCGTTTTTTTGTTTTTGTTTTCTTACGAATACGTCCAGTGG